TAGAAACTTTCAGAAATACTGGTCAGGCTGGCTTCACACCAGCACTTGTACAAAAGAGAGGGGAGGGGAGAATGAGGTGCTTTGACCTCTCTTTTTGGTAAAAACCCCTCGTCACCTGTGTTCCATTATATCATCATGGGCTGTGGATCCTGACAGACAGCCCATGGTAAGCCCTTGCTCCCGGCAGCACCAGAGACAGCCTGCCCACAGGGATGCCCTCTGCTCAAGCTCTGCTGGGTCTCTGCATTAATCCTTGTGCCCAACCATCTGAGTTAGTGCTGCAGCATCCCAACCCCTGGTGCATTCCCAGAGTCTCTCTCTGCTCTAGAGCTGCTGCTCTCTGTAATTTTCCATTCCTGTGTCCCTGCATTCCCAAGCCATCACTGCATCCATGAGTTCCCCCCGATGTAGCCACATTTCAGTACCCTCATCGCTACTCTTAAACTGCCCATATTCCCAGCTTGGATCAATACCAATTTCTGCCACTTACTTGCCTACCTTTCAGCAAGCCTTTCTTTGTTCTGCATAGAAATAAAACTGTAACTGTACCTTGCCAGAAGAATTACTTTTTTAAGCCTCCCCCCCTCTGCTTCTTCCCTCTATTCTTCTTCCCCTTCTTCTTCAGGAGCAATTTTATGCAATTTGCAACTGTCTGGCTGCAAATGAAAAGAGACACAAAGCATTTCTGCGAAATATTGAAAAGCTGGCTGCTTCTCCCTCAAATTTCACTTAGCAAGAGGCTTTAACTTCGTGTGTGATCACTGCGTGTCATTAATAACCTCTCCAATTCCTTTCAGAACTCAGCAAAGTGAAGGCACAATCGTGAATCAAAGGCATGGGTTATTGAGATATAATATCATTTCACCAAGCCAGGAAGGAGTGTGCCAGGGAGCAGGAAGAAGGTGAAACACTGCACTGCTAGGCTGGCTGGCAGCTGAAGAGGACACTAGATTTAGGAAGAAGCCTAAGGGCTTGATTCCCTCTCTGCTTTTCAGTTTCAAAGATTTTGCCTCTATTCAGCCTCCTCCATGGGTTGTGTGTCTTTCCCCAAGCCCTGTGGACTCAGGCCACAAAGGGAGCTGGTTTCTATTTTGTTCCTCTGGCAGATCTGTCTCCACCTCTGTTGAATCTTTGGAGCCCGTCAAAGTGCTGTATTGGGACTGAGTCAGACTTAATTGTGCAGTTCCCCAGCCTGTCCTCAGGGAGCAAAACTGGGGAACACGAAACAGGATCTTTGCACATGCAGGACACATAAAGTACTGTGAAGGGCAGGGAGCAGGAGTGTGTCAGGCTGGCTAGGAGGTAGTGCTGGGCAGAGAACTGGCCACAATGCTGGCGCTGTCTATATGCTGCACACCATGAGTTGCTGTGAGCAAGGTGTGATGTGCTTCCTGCTTGCCACGTGTACCACCAGGGTGATGGGCAAACCTTTCTTACTGCATGCCAGCCCTTTGGCTGTGCTGAGGTTCACAGGTTGCTGTCCACATCTGAGGGCCCACACCACAGTGTATGGAAACAGGCTCCCTGCCCACGCAGCCGCAAGGCAGGGCACTCTTCCTGCTTACCCCAGCTGACAGCAAGGCTATGGATACGTGGCATCCTTTTAAGCTCCTTAGTAAGACTGGGTGATGAGCCACTTCTGCTAATTCACCGAGGATGCACTTTACCTCTCTGTTCTAGGAAGCTTCATCCTTCCTTCCCCAAAGGAAGATTCACACAGTTGTTACTTCCAGACTGCACTGATAGCAATTCACCAGCTCTCCAGGCAACACAAGTGTTTTAGATAATACAATATACAGCTGACAGTCATCTTGCTTTACACCCTGGGCACACTAGCCCTTACAAAAGGGGGTGAAAGCCAAAAAGCTGTCTACCTTCAGAAAAAGATGTTAAGCCTTACTGTCAAAAAATAAGCTTTTTTTTTTAGTTTAAATTCTATTTAGCTACCATACATCCAACAGCCCTCAGTTTAAAAATAAACAAGAATTTTGATCTCCCAAAAGGAGAACTTGCCAGAAATGCCATAAAAGCAAATAGAGACTGTGGTGATTTCTACTGACTTGTGTGGAAAACCTACAATATAAATATACCTATAAATAAATATAAAACTTCAGGAAAGCTACACTGCAGGTATGGCCCTGCAGGAACAATGAGGCAGCATTCTTAGATGGGCTGACATTGCTAGCATCAGACCTGGATGGCCTAAGCAATATCTCTGTGGGCACAGGTCTACCCAGTGACAGACTTGGAAGATAACCCAGAAGTCCTGCTCCAGCTGCCTGATCACAGCCTAAGGACCTATCAGAAACCATATCAAAGCATTTCCATAAGTCTGTCCTTACCCAGTCTAGACTAAGAAAGCCATTGGTCTCTATTCAGGTCCATGAACTCTTGAGATCAGCCACTGGTCTCTGCATTGAAACCAACAAAGGAAGGTACTTGGGTACCTGTGGCACCTATGGTTGCTTTGCAATACAATGTCAAGTGTAGGATTACCAACAAGATCCTTTTTATGCCAGTTTGATCCCTTGCTGTCTCTAAACATGCTGATACTTGGTCATACATTCACTTAACAGTTTGTGTCACCCTACACTGATGTCATACACTCTTAAGCTTTCTTCCTGCTACTGCCATGTGCAATAAAGAGATAGTAAATGGGTAAAATGAACAAGAAATCGCTTGTTTACCAGACTACGGCCTATTTACTGAAATCCCAGCGGTGTGGTCCAGTACATTCTGTTCTCTGTCCTACGCTAGGGTCTTCCTTATATTTCTGGTGAGAGGCTTTGCCACTGAGTTCAGAAGATAATCTAGATGTGAATGTACAGAGACCAAATTTCATGGCCTTGTTCCCAAAATAGGGAAACAATCAGTTACTTAGCACTCCTGCCTGTGACTCATTTCCAGAGTATTCTCTGTGATTAGCTGGGTCAGAGGGATGGGTGATACTATGCAGACTCAAGCAAACCAGGCTAAGAAAACTGAAAGCTACCTCCAGTCACCCAGCCCATCTCCGTGCCAAGACCAACTCTATGAACATCAGGATGGAGATCTGTTCCATTCTGGTAGTAACCATCCCTAAATGGCCCCTAAAACGACCAAAGAGAGAGAATCCTGCCTTCTTGGTCATTGAGGGACTTTCCAAAAGAGAAACTAAATGTGATGATGTGGTGTATTGCCAGCTTGAAAATAGACAGCTTGAAATGCAGCACAGCTCATCCTCATCTTAATTCTGAAGCTTAATTACACCACACTGCTCATTAACTGTCTCCAGACAAACATGTTTGAAAGCACTCAGCTAGCACAGACTTCTTACTTGATCCCAATCAGGTTCTTACACCTGCCTTAACATAAAAAGCCTTTAGATCACCACATTACAGATAAATTTCTGCTTTAAATATTACTCCATGCAGCACTCTACAGCCACCAAGAGCACAAAGAGAACATAGCGAAACATGCAACAAATTCCCAATGTAGAACTCCAGCAAAACTGAGATTGCCTCGAATCCACCGAGCTTCACATGAATAACCTTTCAGAGTCCCTCTACAGGTACTAGGCAGAGACATGTCTGTCTTCTCCATTGTGTTACACCACTGTACCACGACTCTTCACGACTGCTCCTCCATCCTTTGACTTGTTCTTATAGACTCTGTCAATTCTGCCCTGGACCAACACACACAGAAGATTACATTGCTTTAGCCTGAAAGGCTGACCTTTTCCCCTCACACAAAATTAACTCAAACAGTATTTGAGCACCTAGCTATCTGTACTCTTCCCCCTTGTTGCCCTGAGATAACCTGGAACAGTAAAGATCCTATTAAGAAGTAATTAAGTTACATGCATTTTCCAACCCTCAAATGCCAACACAGGCCCATGCAAAAAGGGAGCACAGGTAAACAAATATGGAAAAGGATGTGTGCATGTGGAGGTCTTGAGGGGAGCTGGGAGAGGTGAGGAAAGCTATTTGGACATGTATGGGTTAAAAAGAAAATGTTATGGTTAAGAATTCCTAACCTCTCTCCAGAGACCCCTGGTTTACATTAGTTATTCCACTGCCTTGAGCACTCAGGGCCTCCTGTGAGCTTCTGTCTATAAGTACTCAACTCCTCCACCTACTCACCTCCAAACGAATCTTTACAACATGCTCAATCAACCCCCTCAGTGCAGCAAGGGAACTGCCCGGTCAAAGCTCTCAAGTCATACCAAAAAGGGCATGGCAACAATTCAGAACTCGTATCAGCTCACCAGCAGGTCCCAGAGAGGCAGAGGATGTCCCTGTCAGGGGCAACCTGTTCCACAGTGCCTGGCCTTCTGCGATCACTACTGCACTTTGCTCCCAACACCAGCTGTGGAGCAAGCAGGACCCAGGAACAGACCACAGCTAGTTCAGTCGTCTTGGTCTCACCTATATAACCCATTTCTCTTCCAAAAAATGGGATACAGCAAGTGTGGGTTTTTTTTCTTCTGAGAAGCTGATCCAACTCAGCCACTGCACTAGAAGTCATTCTGGGTCCTGCACAGAGCCACCCAACAAATTGCCCAGGCACCCTGTAGGGCAATGGCAGACTAGGAGCAGATGCATCAGGAAGTTCTGCACACCTGGAAGAAAAAGGTCTAGTACGCTGTCCTGTCAGCTTTCCAGCATGCCCACTGTGCAGGCTGGGCCCACGCACTTCACGCCAAAGCCCACAGCTCCCTAGTGACGGGGACAGATAGCGGAAGATGTTGTGTCACACCACAGAGACCAAAGAGCAGCACAGAAATAGGCTTGGCTGGAGTTACGTGGGGCAGCCTTGGCAAGGTGGAGAAGAGCAGCAGCTCTCTGAAGAGCAGCACTGTGCTTTGGCTCCCACATCCCTCTTCTAACCTCCAAATCACACGTCTCTTTCACAAGCAGGAAAATTAATCTAAGCCGCTTCTCACCCTCACTTGCTCCCCTGACAATCCCTCATTCACCTGCCCATGACATGAGCTCCAGGCACAATTCACCAGGACTTACCCCTGGCAAAGTCTTCTGTTCATGCAGTGCTGTCTGGGCTTTGATGGCAGAGTCTCTGGCACAGTATGTGAGGAACGCACAACCTGCAGTGGATACAGCAAGTGTCAAGTTAGACATGCAATTGCAGATGCACATCAACACAACATTACTCTTTGGTAACAGCAGGTGCCCAAAGTACAAGAGCTACAGATGCTGCTGGTCTGTGCAGCATCTGGTTCCAGCAGACCTCTGTCCCTACATTTCTGCTCAGGTACAGAGGAAGTGCCTAGGACAGCCCTTGCACAAGACCTGAATTTTTACCAGGGCAGGGGCAGAGGGGGAGGCTTGCTAATTAAAGGTGCAAATGTTACATAATTTGGATGTGTCGAAGACTAGGGAAAAAGACAAAGAAATTACGTTAAAGGACTTGCACACCCCATCCAAGGTCTACTGAAGTCTGTTGAAAAGGGTCCCAGTGAATCAACTAGGTTTGAAACAGGTGTTGAACAAGAGGAGAAACAACAGGAGAGTAAAATGCAAGCTAACATTGCCTGTGGGAGAAACAGCCCAAAACACAAGGATCAGAGGAGATGCAACGACTGGTATGATTGATTAGTGATTAAAAAAAAAAAAACAAGCAAGGAAACAGGAAAAGCACCTGGGATTTTAGGCTCATATGAAAGCTCCATGATCCAGTTTCACAGAACCATAGAAAGGTACAGAAGGAGAGGCCTGGCTTTCTGTGCCATACATACACCCATACAATGTGCACAAACACACACAAATATACATTACAAGGGAAATACAAAGAACAGAAAAGCATAATGCATTCTGCAAGGGCCAACTTAAGCAGCAGGATGAAAAGCACATGGAAAAGGCCAGATCCTGACATTCTTAGTCAAGATTTGACTCAACATCTTAGCCTAAAATTGGAGCCAAGGGAGGAGGGGAGGAACTGTAGCCCCTCCAGGAAGAAGAGGGATCATCTTTGGGTGCTCTGATGCTAAGAATAATCAAATGAAACTAAGCAAAGGAAAAATTTGGCTGGTTATCAAGAAACATTTCCTAGCAGAGAGAGATTTATTGGACTGTGGAATGATCTCCCCAGGGAAGTGCCTGGAGCTCCGTCACTTGAGTTGTTTCAGATGAGGATGGGCAAAGCACTGGAGAATAGACTCAAACGCTAGAATGCATCTGACCCCCTCACTCATCCCCCTCCTATTCACAGTGGCATTTCACATCCTAAGCAAAGGCATGACGCGTCCTTTCAGCTTGTTGCTAAATGTCCATGTCTATATTGTTGTGCTGGGGCTGCAGATGCATTGTTATAGCCAGAGAGGCCTGTTCTTTTGCCCCCACCTTCTTGTGCCTGGTTTGGGGTACTCCAAAGCCACTTCAGCTCTCCATGGATCCAAAGGTGGATGCAGGACAGGGGCTGTCTGGACCACTCCCCTCCACCGCAGAGTGACTCCATGGTACACAACACTTTCAGGTCACGCAGAAGTCAGCTGCTTGGGACAATCCCAACCCATGGCAACAAGATTACGCTCTTCTTCCATCCCAGCTCTAATAAATTGCTGCAGCTAAGCAAATCACATCTGCCCTCACAGCTCTTGCTAGGGAAAGAAAACCTCCATGAACAGCACAGAAGTATTAGATATCTCTAACAGGTAATTAAAACTCCTTATTGCCCAGGTTTTGAACCGAGAATGCTGCACCAAGGCCAGACGTGGGATCACCAGTTAATTTATTAAATGCAGTGAGGCCAAGAAGCATGCAGGTAACCTTCACTTCTCATGGCAAAGGCAGCTAGTTCTGTTGTGAGGGGGAAGCACCCCTTCGCTTTACTCTCTTCTTGCAGAGTGCTGTGATGTCAAGCATCAGGAAAAGCCTCAGAAGCACCTGTATAACCAGAGAGCCCAAACCCTATTTCTAACAGATATGGAGGCCTGGTCACCAAAGTCCCAAACACAGATGCTTCCCTGATTCCACCTGCTGCTCCAGTCTGCTACTTTGCAAGTCACATGAGACCCATTCTAAGACAATCGGGGTCAGGTTTAGCACACAAAACTCTGAAGTCAGGAGTTGGAAATAAGCAATTTATTCTACAGAGAGCTTTAGTGCATTGGTACCGTGTCCACGTGCAATGAAAACACCATCCTTGCCTCAGGAGAATTAGCCATCAAACCTAAGAAAACTAAGGATAGAAGATAGAAGTCTACATGAAGCTACCTGCTGAGTTAAGCACTCAAACCCAGTCCCTGAGTCCTAATTCCAGTGCTCAGGAACATCAAAACTGAGGTAATGCACAGTGGCAGGCTCAAAAACCTCAGCCCATGGGAGGACAAGGATAAAATGAGGATTGGACAAAGGTGCACCATTTAGTGGGGATAAAGGAGAAACACTCCTCACGCAGAGATAAGAGAGTTATTTTGCAAGATCCTGTCATCATGCCAGATCAGGGAATTGTAAAGCCCAGCAACACCTACATCCACCAGCACCAACCCAAAAAAGTGCCATGAATCCCCTCCCTAGAGCCATCTGGTCCTCCTCTTACCTACAGCAAAGGTAGCCCAAAATACTGTTCGTCTTTTAGGTGCTCAGGTATCTGTACCAAGAGGTAGCAGCCTCTGGAGACAGACGCATCCTGCAGCTATGGAGCCTGAAGATACCTCATTCAAATCTTCTTCTTCACTCCCAGGGCAATCCTTGCTGCTGCTCTGCTTTTCAAGGATGTGGATATTTGCTCAACAGAAGCCAGCTTGTACTTGCTCCCTTCACTCAAGCATGAAACAGCACGTGGGCAGCTTCTAACAACAGGCTGTGTCTGGGCTGGACTGGGACAAGCAAGCCTATGGGCACAGGACAGCCCTGTCCACTGCTCTGTCCCTGAGCTCTCCATGTCTCTAAGCTTTCAGGACATTCAGCTCATTTATTTCATCTCATTCCTGCTTCCCAAATGGCAGGAATCTGGGAGGCTGTACTGGCTGTGGAAAGGAGGAAGCTAAAAAGGTCAGCTACATCCTTTGGAAAACATGATTTCTGTCCTCCACAGCCAGATGTTTTGGAGGTAAGATGCAGGAGTCAATTCTATTCTCTTTGCAAAGTCCTGGTCAGAAATACAGAAAGGAGTTTTGCAGAAACAGTACATTCTAACCCTAATTGTCTAAACAAATATTTGTGAAAAAGAATCTTCCTTCCTGGAGAGACATTACCTCTTGCAAACTAACTCTTCAGCTACTCCTTAGGATGCAGCAAGTAAGTGAAGCACCAGGCATTTTCCACAGCCTCCCTCGTCCCCTGCCTTCACCCAGGTACCTGAAGCTTACAGGACTACCAGAGGCTCAAGGAATGCAACGTTTTCCCAGCTAGGAAGGGTTTCCGTGCTGTGACAGGACCCTGCTTACCATGTCTGTCATGGATTCTTCAGGCTCCTAAATCTTTGAGCCTGACAGAGTCACCCAGGGATCCACTCAACAGGGAGAAATCCACAGAGGTGCAAAGGGACTCATCACTCTCACTAGGTTTTCTCACTTCCACATTTCCTGCTTTAGTTAACAACAAACTCAGGTCAACAAGCTTATGCCCCTTTGGGCACTTCTAACACCAAGTCAGTTATGCCTGCTGAGACATGGGACATGGTGTTAAAAAGTGCTCAGGGTGTTAAAAAGTGCTGGCCTTGAAGGTTCCAGGCACCTGGCCAAACAGGTGGTGTTGATGATCCAGTCACAGAACAGGGAAGCATAACGGCACCCAGAGCACTGTCTATAAAATCAAGCTCTTACAAGTCCTAAATGGGGGAACTTGGACCGGAGCTGCTGCTGAACAGTGAGAGCTGTGACCCTCGGTGGCCACAGATGCCTCCACCATCATCTGCTTCCTCTGCGGACTGAGTGACTCGTCACCTTTTACATGATTTTCAAGTCTAGATTATGATTGTTCCATTGATACAGCAAACCATGTATTAAAATCTGACCTGATCTGCAAGGGGTCCAGGTGATTATAAATCATAAGTTAAGTTGTATTATAAATTCTGTATTACGCCACTTCTAGATTGTACTACAGTGATTCTGCTTGTAGAAATCCTGTGCCATTCTAATAATAAATTCTGTGCTATACTAATCATAAAATTCTGTTAAGAAAATAAAGCTTTAAGACTTAGTGCCATCATCATTCTGCCAAGGATCTCTAAAAGAACCTGTATGTCCCCTTAGTGTCGGGTGACACCACCCTACTCCCACTGGCTCCAGGAGGGTTTCCAGCCCCCTGTAAGCAGAACCCAGCCTAGTTCCGCTTGCAAGAGACTGCGGGGGGGGGTGGGGGGAAATCTGTGCCTGATCCTCCCTACAAACCACACATTGACTCTCGGATTTACAGTCCTTTCAGATCCTAAACATTACTCCAGACATCAGCAGTCTAAAGCCTTGAGCAAGAAAAGGCTGTCAGTCTACAGAGGAGAGGGGTCTCTAGATTCAGCCTAGCATTAGAAATCACATCAAATATTCCAGCAGGGAGCTTATCTACAAGCCTGCAGGAGCCGAGTCAAAACTCAGCTGCCACTGAGGCAAGTTAGGCTGAGGTTGTTATTGCCTCCTTGCCCTTTGGAAAAGCCACCCATCTGTCCACACACTGTATGCTTCTCCAATCACCCTGCGAGAGGGCTGCTCCTGTCCCTGCCATTCTCCTGCAGTTCAGTTTAGTATCTCACACTCCAGAATCTCTCCACTTTCCCTACCACAGGCACTGCTAGGAAACCCATCCAGGAGAGCATAGTTGACACTCGTGGAGGAACTCCCTTCCGCCCAATGCTGGAACACAAGGCCAAAAATTTCCACTTGATTCTCCCTGCTTGGTCTCCTCTGACCCATTCCAAAAGCCTGTTCAAATGTGTCCCTGCTCTTCCTGTGAAAACATTAGCTTTAAGACAAACACTGCCATTAACATGCAAATGTATCTGTGATTAACATAAATAGAAAAACTGCCTCATGAATAATATTAGGAGGCTGGAACAGTATCAACTACCAATAGTCAGGTCGCTGAAACATGAATAGTCAGGCATTAACAAAACCATTTCATAACAGTGCTCATGGTTCTAGCAGGCCTGCAAGATCCTCCTCTGTCTCCAGTGAATTCATCAGTTCTCAGCACCCATACAGGACAGTCCTAGCTAGCTCTTGGGTTCTCAGACTCTGCAGCCCAATTCACACCCTCCTGCCCCTGGCAGGCCTTTTCCACCCTTCCTTCCTCCCTCCCAGGGGGCAGAGGCAGCTGCTCAGTTCCATGTCAAGCTGCAAGGCATTGCAAGCAGAGCTGCTGGGCTTTACCAGCAGCGCTGGCTTCTCTCACAACTGCTTCTCCCCATTTAGGGAAAGAAAGGGAAAAAGCAGATGGAAGCCGCATGTGAGCTGTCAACTGGATCTCGCTGCAGATCAGGGAACATGGAGAGAGAAAACTAAATCTGCTGTTACAACTGCCCCAGAAAGATTATGGCTTCTGTATGGCACAGGAATGAGTGCACAGTTATCCCCATTTGCCAAAGCCTTCCCCTGACCAGGGGCTTTGAAGCCCTGGCCAGCTCCTGTGAGTCCTTCAGGCCGCTGCAGCTTCTGGGTCAGGTCTGGCACCCTCCAGGCCTGCTAATGCTAACAGTAGCGGCGACTCTCACCAGGTTGGCCTTCTCACATAGAGCCCAAGCCAATGCAGCCAGACCCGAGAAGATGGGAGGGGAAGGCTGGGGTCAGGGTTGGCTGGATTGTAAGTCTAATTTCTTCGCTGCACACTAACCCCTCACCTCCCCCCGCTCCATCCTTGTGGAGGAATAACTTCTTTGGAGAGGTATATTGCCTATTCCCAAACCAGTCTGAGGGTCTACATATAAACCCACGCCACCAGGAAAGGAATCCCAACCTTTCACTTTGTACAAAACAGGGCGGGGGGGGGGGGGGAGAGGCAGGGGGGCAGAGGAAACTGAAGGTGTGTGGAAATGACTGTACAATAGCCACCAGAAGAACCTACGCATCTCAATGGCCTTTTCTGGACAGAACAGAGCACCAACAACCCCTGACCAGCACCTGCATCAGCTCAAAAATGTCAAAACCAAAGGGACATATTTATTTTGCTGCAGGAATCCCGCATTTAGCAGCAAGTTAATGTCACACAGATCTGACTAATAGATACCAGTGCTACTCCCTCTAATTTCCATATCTAAGTGGCAGATCCCTAGAATCTGTCTCCTGCCTGGAACCTGACCTCAGACCACAATCTATATTTAATATGTCAACTGAAATGAAATGTGCAATCGCGTCTTGCCTTGGGCCCATTCTCCTCCTCACTGGGTTTGAAACCTGGCAACTCACTGTCAGATGGTAGCAGATTTGGACTCAGTCCCTTGCACACATAGACACACAAGCATATGGCATTTTGGTTCTGAAGTCCCAACCAGACATACTTCTTCACCTAAATTGAAGCCAGCCCAGCTCCCACAGGCTTCGATGAGGAAGTGTTTTCCTTTTGTGTTGAGGTTAGATTTGGCCTTTTGTTTGAAAATAAACTTATTTTTTCTGTTGTTCCCTTCCCTCTCTGTTCAGTCTAGAATGGTTTGAGTTGCCACAGCACTCAGGTTTTTCTTACCTTTCCTCCTAGATCTGAAAGCAGAGGCATCAGGACTGAATGCAACTCGCACTCCCTCCAGTGCACACCAACACATGACCCCATCACGAACCGTTTCAGGTCACAGAGGCCCAGGCTGAGCACTGACAGCTTTCAAGGTACTTGCTGTAGCTTCCCTGCCCACTTGCTCTAAGCGTGCCAGGGAGTGGTGCTGTGATCACTCTCTCAGATCTCACAGCAAACTGGGTCCTGGCTGCAGCTGTGGTGATCACAAGATGCCAAACACCTGCCGGGGGTGAGCTAGAACCGCTCCACAGAAGGGAGGTGGCATCCTGAACGCAACAGCTTTTCAAAATACAGCTTTCAAACACAACAATAAGCGCAGCTAAACAAGCCTCCTCAAACTTTTCAGCACCCACTAAAAGGTCTTTCAGCGAAGACAGACCCCTCATCTATCCCAATCTATCATCAAGGCCACTCATCCATCCCAAACGCAGCTGGCAACGGCAGATTTGCGGCCGGTATTCTTTGTGACGCGGATTTTAAAACTGTAGCGCCGTATTTCCTGCCTGGGAGGAGGTCTGAGACCACCGGGAGGGTGGCCGGCCGCTCGCCGAGGGCTCCCATTTTAGCCCTAGCTGCCGCGACCTGCAGCAGCCTCAGCCTGCCCCACTCTGCACATCGGCGCCTTTGTCACAGCACCCCACGCACCGGCGCGACCGGCGCCAGGCCGCGGGCTACCAGCGGGCACGGCGGGGCTGCGCGGGACTCCGGCGCAGGGACGCCGAATCCCACCCGGCCCACGGGGCCCACCCCCGCCCGTGGGCGCCAGCGATACGAACCCTTTGCCGGGCAGCGGATCAGGGGGCGCGAGCCCCCGCCGAGGGGGCAGCAGCAGCACGTCGCGGTGGGTCACGCGTGGCCTGACCCGAGGGCGGGCGGGGGACGGCGGGACCCGCCACCCTTTGTGCGCGCCCCGGGAAGCGGGCCGTGCCGTGCGGGGCCGGGCTCACCCTTGTGCATGCCGGTGTAGCGGTCCTTGAGCACGGTGAGCTCGTAGATCTTGCCGAACTGCTCGAAGAGCGGCTTGAGGTCCTTCTCCTCCAGGTTGCGCGGGATCTGCCCCACGAAGAGCTTGATGGCATCCAGGTCCTTCATGCTGTCGGGCTGTGCGGGGGGCTCCGCGCCGCCGCTGCTGCTCATGGGGGAGGCTCGGCGCGGCGGGCGCGGCGGCTGCGGCGCTG